GCCAGTTGTTCTTCGCAACCAGCTCCTTCAGGGCCTTGTTGAAGGCGATCTCGTGGCCTTCCGTTTCGCGGATCTGGAGCCCGCTTGTGGATGGGCAAAGAACTAGTCGGCGCGCCGGCCTTGACAGCTTGGCTCACTCCAGGCACGGCAATTCATGGCATCATGGATGCCCTCTCTCTCTTCGGGATCACTCCGAACAGCTCCGAGTCAGCGCTCTGACTTGGAAGTTGCCAATGGTGATGGCCTGAACCTCAGCAACGAGCCCAAGCATTGTCGGGGAGTGTTCCCAGTCTTCCATTGAACCAACGCCAGTTGGGTCTCCACTCCATCAAGGGTTCCACGGTGTGAAATTCCAGTCACCAAGCCAACGCTGCTCGACCGGTCTGGTCGATTGTGTTGAGAGGCATCTGCCCAAGTCACACCAGCCACGTCACCAGCCCCCTTAATCTCAGAGGAAGTCGGAAACAAGAGGCCCTCTCCGCATCTCGCGGATCAGTTTATTCGTTTTGTACAGGGTCTCAATCAATTGCGCCATGGCCGATCTCACTGAAAAGAAGGGAAATCTCTGCCAGGAACTGGGGGCCTGACTGAGTACTCCTCCAACGATGAAGTTGTGAAACCACTTGTAGGAGTAGTGTGGGATCACCGGCCAGCAGAAAATCATCAGCGTGAATGCCAGCAAGACCAATGCTGGTCTTCTGTTCACTCAGTTTTGCCTCCGCTTCAAGCCCAGCGCCGATGACCTGCTCGTCGTTCGCGTTCTTCTCATCCATCACCTCATAGAGACAAGAAGAGGCATCGGTCACCTTTCATCAGGTCACCATCACCTCCTGGCATCTTTCGAACCACTCGAACCACTTGCGGGCAGCGTGAACGAGGCCGTATAAAAGGGAAGCGCGACCAAAAAGTGCGGGCAGCTCTGGCGGGGCGATCACTCGTCGCCGCTCTGGAGGCTCCCGCCAAGGCCAGCAGCATGTTCCTCCCCAGCTTTGACATAGTGTGGCTCCCAGTCTCAACCTCCGTCAGGTTGGGAGCTTGGAAGCCCAAGACGACCAGCCTCGCCTTCGCCGAGTCGTCGGCCTTCCTCGTGAGGACCCATCTCATGCGCATGAGCTTGGACAAACCCAAGAGAGATGGCCACCTGTGACAACTCTTTGGCCATTGCTGGGTCGAACTCCTTCTTCTGGCCTCTTCCAGTCAATCTCCTTGACGTCGTCGACGTCGGTTCTTTGTCAGCCATCCGAAGTCGTCCTCATCCACCTCCAAAGTCAGAGTCCGATGATGCTGTAGAAGAGCTGGATGGTGATGTCGCTTCCTCTTCACCTTCTACGTCTCCTTCAGCTGGAGCCTTAATTCCTTCCGTCACATAGAGATCGTACATGAAGGTCTTTCCATCTCGGTCTTAAGGTGATGTCCCTCATGCCCTCCGGGAAGATCGCATTCCGGTGCAGCACATTGAATCGGTGTGTAGAATCCAATAGATGGGGTCCCAACGTTTGAAGCGCTGCTTGAAGGCCTCGTGGTTGATCAATAGATGCGCGGGCAGGGTTCACCGGGAGGTTCCTCCTCTTCTCTCACGCCTCATTGTCCTCTCTATCAACGGCCTTTCGCTTGGCTCATTGTCCTCTCCATCATCGGCCTTTGGCTTAGCCGCACGGCGTTCAGCCTTCCTGGTCGTCTTCATAGGATCCAAGGTCACCAGTTCAAAGTGGGTCTCACCCGTCCATCGATCAGGAAGGTTCCCCGCAATGTCCACAATGTCCTTATAATCACGACGGGATCGGCTCGCTGTTGATCTTGCTCTCGATGTAGCGGTTGGACATAGGTTGCGCGGTTTCCAGTCAGCTCATCGATGCTTACTGGACATTGGGTGGCCTGTGTTGGGTTGATGTGTCCCAACCTTGGTAGACAGCACGAAGCCGTTCAGCAGAGGGCTCTTGAAGCACCGTAGTGGGTGGGGTCAGGTGCGCCATTTGTCTTCTGAGGGCACGTCTCCAGAGACATCCAGGTAATATCTCCCTTGGAATGTCCGCACCAAAGTCTCTGCTGAGACCGGTTGCCGGTAAATAGCAGCTCCGTCCATGATTGCCTCAAGTTCTTCAGGTTTGGACACTGGGCAGATCTGATTCACCTTTGCCCTGATCGCACCACACTTTTCGCTGCACCAGCCAGCCTCTGCCAGATGCAGGGAGCAGCAGATTTCTTCTCATTGTCCTTGAGAGGGCACTTGAACCATCGGCAGCTCGTCGCAAAGGCCTCAAAGGTGCTACGTCCCACACCGGGACATCTTCTGAAGGCATCGCCCCAGAGCTCCACCGCACCGAAGTCGCCAAGGATCATCAAAAAGCTCCGAATACCATGAACGGAGTCCCAAAGGACAAAACCGGACCTACCACGGTCCGAACGCAACGCGCCGTTTCGCTCGGCTCATCGAGATCTTGAGCCCGCCCTTCGCAGGAGAAAAGGTCAAACACAATCCAGAAAGCACACGTAGCATTGCGCAGCGCAGATTTCGTGGCAGGAGCAGCGCTTCACCTTGAAGTGCTCTCACGTGCGTGCTCTCATGTGTGTCCTCAGGCCTCCAGATCTCTACAGTAGACATCTTTGTGCACCTCTAGAACTCCAGAATCCTCCAGACCTGTACGTTGAGCGCTCTAGATTTCAGGCTTCAGACCCAGAGCTCTTGATATTTCTGGATCTCAAGACCTCTAGATTTCCTAGACCTCTACACCTCTCAAGCTCTAGACCTCTAGACCTTGAGACCTCTAGTGCCATCACCCTCAAGCAAAGAACATGTGGAACTGGAACAAAGCTACCCTTGCAGTTTCTACGAACAAGGAACTTCAGATCTTTGCACCCTTGTCAAATTAAATCGATGCTTCGACCAAACAGTACCAGACTTGGTTGAGCTTGGCTGCTTCAAGGGCAACTTCGAGTGGCTGGGATGGCCTCCACCGTCATGGTCGATCCTAGGCTTCCTGGCCCACCATTGATGTCGTGGCTTTTCACCGAACAACTAAAACCAGGTCTGTCCCGAAGTCTTTTCATGGTCGAACCTCGCTGAACCTGAACCCGGTTCAGCACTCTGTGTTATTTTTTCAGGGTCACCGGTCGGACAGAAGCTGCGCCCCCCCAAAGCATGGTCTTGGCAAGCTTCAGCTGCGCCTGCAGCATGCCAAAAGCAGGGTAGACTCCCATCACTGGCAGGGTGGTCACCCTAAGCAATTAGTAGCAAGAAGCTACTAGCAACAAGTGCATCACTACTAGTAACAAGGGCATTACTACTATAGTGGGTGATCACTGCAGGTGTCCTTTCGGGTCCGCTGCGGGCCATCTTTTCCTATCCGACACGCGCCCATCTACTGGGACGCTCCTACTGGGTCACATGGCACTTTGCTTCATGAGCAAACCCTCTTGAGTTGTAAAACAAATATCCCTCTTCTCTCGTGCATGTTTCAAGACGCGACCAACTCCCCCTGCATACTAACCCTCCTTCCCTCCCGCCGACAATCTCCTGTCCCCAACGAGATCTATCCACCAACACTCCAACACCCCACAAAAAGAAGAGAGAAAGAACACTCCAGGACTCCAGGATCCCCTTTCTTCATCCCTCCGGCCTTGATGGCGCGCGGGCACTCGCCACCGAACTTGGGATCCCCCCAGACCACCACCGCGCCATCGGCCCGTAGCGCCCCGAAGGCCCTCTGAGTGCTGCTGAGGCGAAGCACCTGCCTCCCCAGCGCAGCAGTCGTCCAGTCTTCACCGGGGAAACCACCGAAGACTGAACATCGAAGAGAACATAGATCAAATTCTTGCCGATCTTAAAAGGAAAGAAGGGATGAAACAGTTGCAAACTTGAAGAAAAGTTTGCTTGGCACAATTGAATCGAGTGTACCCCGTAGATGTGACCTCGACTCGACTCTTTGCGACCTCAAAAAACTAGGATGAAAACGCTACCCCAAAGGTCGAAGGCAAGAAGAGTTGCTCTATGCCAAAAGAAGGGAATGAGAAATCATGTAAAATAGTCCAGAACAACTAAGAACAAACAACTACCATTTAATCTCTCTTGGGCTGTCCTAGCCTCAGCTCACTCTGCACCTGCCGACTGTCGCCACCTGTCTCTGCAGCGCCCCAGGAAATTACCGAGCCATCGCCACGCAGCAGGGCGACGGCGTTCTCCGTGCCCGCTGCGTCCAGCAAATCGTAGAGCTGATCTTGGGGCGGCTGCTCCTCCGAAGGCTCTTTCCGAGTTCAGTGTTGGGGAGGGTGATCAGTTTAGGACCTGAGTGGTGCAACACCCCCCTTGTGTGATATTTTGGAGGCACAGAGTTGGTCAACCAAAAGGGGTGCTGGGGAGTTTTTGGAGCGCCGGAATTGCTTTCGCCGAGTGCAACCCCCATCTGAAAAGTAAAAACACACACACCTCCGAGCCGCGCTGTGGCTCAGAAGCCATCGAACGCACGTCCAACGGCATGCGGAGTCTTCGGCTGGGGTCTTTGGCTGGGGCGAGGCTTCTGGTGCCGAATCTGGACCGAGACCCACACGGAAAACGAAGAAAGGGCCAAGCCAATCAGATCAACTGTTGCCACTCATTTCATCAGTAAAACCATCTGTGTGTGTACAAATACGTGTCTGTGTGTGTACATGATATGATCTGTGTATATAGATGATGTTATAACTTGGTTCTGTCTCACACAGTCCCTCCCCGCTTAAAGACACTTCTGTGGAACCCACATTCAAAGCCTTCCACTTTCCAGCAGCTCCTTCACGATCCTGGAATTTCCCCAGAAAATCACCTGGTCATTCTCGCGCAAGGCGATGAAGGTGTCGGAGGTCGTCCAGATGGTCTTCACGTCGAAGAACGCCTGATGCGACACCAATCCCCGCCATCCCCTCCAATCCCCCAATCTCCTCCTCTCCATACCAAGCTCAATCACACCTAGAAATTGAGACCTAGTAGAAAAGTTATCTTTACTCTGATTGCTTGGGGAATATGCATATCAGGCACTGGCATGCGGCATAATGCGAACGAAACCAAGGCATCCCCCATCCGGGTCGCCTTCCCTTGTCTGATCCTTCCTTGTGAGCCCGAAACTTTGAAGACCCGGCCGAATCGGCACCTCCTCGACCTCTGCAAGCGTTTCCTGCAGCTCCCCTCCTCCCCAGGTCACCAAACGTGCATCTGCCCGAAGCGCCGCAAAGGCAGCATTGGTGGCGTAGAGCCGCTGCACCTCCACCAGTTCGCCTTGAACCTCATGGCTGTCGCCACCATACTCGCCTTTACAGGGCCGAGTATAGAAAGAAAATAGAAACTGTCCGTCGGACGAGGAAACGACGAACACGAGCCAAGTGGTGGAGCTGAGTTGCCATGACCCCATGTCAAGACTTCTCCATCCTTCAAGAGTGCCGCATAGGCCATCGCGCTTCCAACCACCTGTTGAACTCCATCCATGCGTTTCAAGGGCAAAGGCTTCATGGAGCCCCATTGAATCAGAACTCCGTCGCTTCGCACTGCAGCAAAGGACAAGGCAGTGCTTGCAATGTCTTGCACATCAAAGAGCTCATCTTGAAAGTGAGACGAATCACCACCACCTGAGTTGAGTCTGAGACCAGCTTAGTCGGTGTCAAGTTCAACAAGTAATCCCTACTGCATGCCTGCGAAGAGACAGCAGGATCATGAAAGGACCATTCGGCTTCCGCTGTTCAAAGTCGCTGAGACCCGGCCCATGTTTCCCAGTGTGCCAACAACTGTGTGTAAACGCCAGCAGTTGCTACGTAAGTTGTCAAACCTTCATCAGTAGCCAATACTCTGCCAAACCGCCTGTGACCATGCCTTGAGCATGATACTGTTCAGACCACTGTCACAAGATCTTTCAGAATCTAAGCCGGCGAAGAGAGAACTCTTGTGGGCACGAGCTACCTGCTCTTCGGCCTCCCCAACCCGGCCCCCGCCCGCCTCCTGCACCACCCCTATCCGCCCTATCCCCACCCGCTCGGTTCTCCAGAGCACAGGGTGCAATGCCCCAGGTCACCACTCGGCCACTGTACAGCACCGCTGCAAAGCCACGTGCGTTGGGCGTGATGCTCCTCACATCGCACAGCGCCCTAGGTTTGTCGATCGGGGGCGGGGTGTGCCCAGGCAATACGAAGAACGTGGAGAAGCCACGAAGCGAAGCGCAAGTTTCAGTGGCCTGGGCGTTTCACATCAAGTTACATCAAGAATATATCACCAGGCACCTGGTTGGGCTGATTTGGGCTTGGAGTCCGAGTTTGGTGAAGGAGCCCACATTTCGGTGAGGTGCGAAGTCTTAGTCTTAGGTATTCACTTGGAGAATACGAAACACACCCAAAAAGCAGCCATGTACAGAACAGCTTTAAAACACCAAGAGAATGAAAGTTGTGGCTGGTGCAGGAGAGCATGGCTGGCTGCCTCTTCCAGGCTTCTTTGCCAGGTGCCCAAGGATTTGGGGCTGCTTGTGAAATTTGAGGAATTTGACTGGCATCTGCGATGAGGATTTGTTCAATTGGGAATTTGGTTTTGAGGTCCAAGCCTGTTTGAACTGGTCGTTTCCTTGACCAATAGTTTTTCATAAACCAATTATATCGTCTCTTGATTCTTGACTCAACAAAAGCTTTTGAGACAAGTACATGAAACCCAGCAAAACCACTAGGCCCTAGGCCCACCCAACAGCCCCCAACAACTCTAAGCAAATAAAACCCCACCCATCTGTGACCCACACATCCACACATCCTCCAAACCAGAATGAAACCAAACAAAAAAGGAAGACAAAACGGTCCCTGACCTGCACCCACACAGGTCGACACGGTGTCCACTTCGTCCCTAGCCACACAGGTCAGCCGACCTATGCAGTATACGCCAGCCACACAGGACCCCCGCTGCTGAGCCAAGCATCGGAGCCACCCTGCTGCTGTCGCCCCCAGAGTCTCGGAAGCCCCACGTCTCCACGGAGCCATCACAGCGGTGGTAGGCCATCGCCAGGCCCCGCACGCTGGCAACGATCCTGGGGGACGATCGGCGACGATCCGTGGGAAAGTCCAGGAAGTGCGTGAAGCAACTGGAAGGATTGGAACTGCTATTCAGGCGGAAATGGTTCAGGCCTCGAAGCGAATGGGTTTTTGGACGGCTCAGCTTCGGGACCTTGTCCTGCCCCAATGACGCTGCCGGGGGGAGATCCCAAAACGTTGTCCCTTCAGACACCGGTTCTTGAAAAAAAATGCGAGGCGATGTGTCTGGCGGCCAGTCCATCTAGAGAAAACGGGGCTCTTTTTCAAGACCCCGGAGTCGGGCCCCCCTCCGTTCGTCGGGATTTCGGCCGTACGAACGGGTCCAACACCGAGCTTTTAGCTTCTCTGTCCTCGTTGCGGGGAACACACAACCGGTGAACCCAGACAGCTGGCCGGTGCAGGAACAAGCATCTGTGTGGGTCTCACGCTCGCCGTCAGCGTTTCATCGTCGTTCCTCAGTGCCGGTGACATCGAAAGCATGAAACAGGTCTTGGTGAGACCTGACAAGGAAGGGAGGTTTGTTCAACTAGCAACTGTCGAAGCTTCGCGACCACCACCAGGAACCGCCCGTTCTTTTGGGGGGGGAGAAGGAGCGCTCCCCGTTCGGTCCCAAGATGTGGTTGGAACCAAATGGAAAAGGAGAAGTCTGACACGGGCAGGTTTGTGTCACAACATGGTTGGGGGGATGAGACCCATTGGCAGAGCTCAGGGGTCTGGGGGGAGAAAGCTTGAAGTCCGCCGTCACTGCGGCCCTAATTCTTGAGCGTGTGTCACTGAAACCTTAGGATCCATTTCTGCTTTGACGAGCCTGCAATCACTTGTTGTCAAGAAACGCAGTCCCAGATGTCACTGAAAATACTGTGACCTTGTCACCTTGAACAGAACGAAGGAACGAAGGAACGAAGGAACGAACGAACGAAGGAACGAAGGAACGAAGGAACGAAGGAAGGAAGGAACGAAGGAAGGAAGGGGAGTGGCCAAAAGGGCCTTTTCATAAGCCTTCGTCATTGTTCTACTTTGACGGCCGGTCTTCTATGCCAGGGCGCCCCACGTCGGGAGTTCAAACTTCAAAGGTATTACTTGCTTGACAAGCTTGGAGAAGCGGCCCAAGAGACAACTCCACAACTGAAAGACAAAGCTTCAAGCACGCATCCTCCACCGACATGGACTCCTTCAGCACTCGGCCATCAGAGGTGATCAACTGATCAATGCCTTGGTCGCGAAAACGCCGTGAGCTTGGCCCGCTGATGGAAGATGAGATCAAGCCGAATCCATCTGCCGCTGAAGCTTTCCTCTTTGGTTGAGCTATCCACTTCCCAGGTCGATGCTCCAGATTCCGAACTCCCACTCTCCCACATGCACAGAGAGAGAGAGAGAGAGAGACTTGCGAAATGTCTGAACGTCAACACCTTGCCCTTCCGATTAGCTGGGTACAGGGGTGTTGATATGTAAATCACACCCCCTGAGTCTGAGACCATCAACTGAATGATATAGGCACACAACAAGGTGGTGAAGTCTTTCTGTGGGAAACTTATGACGATACTGAAAGCCCCCTGTAAAGGCTGTTCCAAAGCCCATGAACTTCTTCCCCCCCCAAAGTGTCTGGCCAAATGTGGCCACATGCTGCTGGCCAATTCATACTCCTCCCTCCAAACAGAGCATGCGGCTAAAAACAAACAGGGACTCTGAGGACTCTTGAGGACGATGTTTCCTCGACAAGCCAATGACTGGTTGATGTTCATCTATGGACTTCCTTTGTGAAAACCAATCCTTGTTGATCCTCTGCCCCAATCAAGGCGCCGCAGCACAGCTGCACTTGAGCTTTGCGCCTCAACTGCCCCACGCTCACGTCGGTACTCGGCAGGTCCAGCTCCGTGTTTGCCCCGCTCAGTAGGCAGATGTGGAGCTTCATGACCGGCCGTACGGTCCGCCCACGGGCACTGGGACAGTATGGAAGAGGTCTCTAGAGTCGCTACGGGCATCGGGAACCCAATGGAACTTTAAGACCAGGCGCCATGCCTGTTTTGACACATCCCCTCTGGGGGAGGGGGCAGGGGGTTGGTTTGGTGCTGCTGAAACCTGATCATCTTGACAGAGTCGTCTATGAATTGATACCTGGTGTGTAGGGCACCATGACCAGAAGAACGTGTGCAGCATACTTGTTGCTACACTACGATGACTTACGATGTGTTAGTATAAGTTCTTTAACTGCCAGACCCTGCTCATTCACCAACGCATACAGAAAGGTACTTGTGTGAAACTTGAATCAAAAGCTGCTTTGGGGCCAGCTTATGTTACAATGGGCAATGGTCAACGGTTGTAGAAAGAGCTTTTTCTCAGATCTCTCAGTATGGCATCGTTCGCCTTGGGAACCCGAACGCGCTTGGGAGTAGTGAGAAGCCCTAAACGCCCCGGTAGAAGCCTTTGTCGTCTATCTTAAGGAGTTGGCGACTCACAGCAACAAAACCACCTGCAGCCTGAAAAGCAACAAGAGTTGATGATTTCTGCAGGAGTCGCAGATGCAATCTTATCGCCGCTAGCCACTTGAATGGCCGAATGGCACAATACTGGAAGTTGCTGGCAAGGTATTTGGAACGCAAACCAGAAAACGACCAGTTGGGTGGACTAAACCAACAGCTTGGCCCAGCGACCGCACTGCCCAGCCTGGATCACCATGCCCACCTGCACCACATGGAAACGCCCAAACACTGCAGGCCGCGGGATTTCCCCAGTTCAGGTGGTGCAGGATATCCTTAAATATCCTTACAGTAACTGTATTTTGATATGTCACCTCAGCCTTGCTTTCTGATCAAAAAAGACACAGCTAGCACCGAAATTGGGCACAAAGCACAGTCTGGACGAAACCCCAGACTTGAGGCCCAAGCACCTCTGCAGCATCGCGATTCAGGACTCTCCAAGAGCCCGCCCGAGCTGGAGATGAAGGTAGCGGCATGTTGGGAGAGGGGCTGAGTTCGCTCTCCATTGATTCACACAGTGCGCAGAACAAGCAAGGAAGATTGATAGATATCACTAGATGTTGATAGAATGTCACACCTCTTTCTTCACTCCACCTATCTTGATCAAGCGTCGACTTTCTGTGGCACCTGATTTTCTCATCTCCCAGCCACAAAGGTCGAAAATGCTATGGTCTCTTCGGGCTGATGACGCAGTCTGTCTGGGTTTATATGGTGGGAGGGGGTTTCCTTGGAAAGCAGATTGAGCTAGCGAAAGGGTTGGACCCAGCAAGTTCAGAAATCGGCACTTGCTCAAAGGATTGGTGTCCCACCCTGCTCAGAGGACTGGTTTTGGCAGCATGCTTTCCTGAAAAGCCGGGAGTCTGGCAGAGCTGGGACCGGCCCTCAAAGGACCTCTTCACAATCTGATGAGCTCACCCCAGCGGCTTTGGGAGCCTCCTGTGACCGGTTCCCTTTTCAACTTTTCCCGTCCACCACCGGATGTGCCAGGTGATGGACTCTTAGTCCAAACGAGCTCAGGTCATTTCAAAAGCTATGCCCGAAGCAACCCAGTGATGCATTGATCACTGGTCTCCAACTGTTTCGACGCTAGTTGCTTGTAGAATGGTCCAGGCCAGTTGAATGTCCAAAAGACACACTTCGCATCAACTGTCTGGCATGATCCAACTGCCATATGCGTAGACTGTGTGGAGTGAACAAACAGCTGTACGTGTACAGTCAACACTGCTTGCTTGATCTAGATCAAAACCACTGATCGTAGAGAAGTCTAGATCCGATTCAATGGTTGTGTATCAAAATAGGAAGACAGGGAGCTCACTGCTCTAGGCCTTCCACTTGCGCCAGAGTGGATCATTTGGCTATGGGTCAAAACCCTCAGACCCTGCTTGAACCAAGAGAATAATGAATGACCAAAAAGATTCAACAAAATCAACCTACATATATATATATATATATATCTTTATACACTGTATACTGTACTTACCCTCAATGTCTTGGGGGATTAGATTTTGACCCACAGCCATTTCACCATCCTTCAGCTTGTGAGCCCAGGCCCTACGGCGTCTTCAACGCCGTGCGGGCACCACGCTTGACGTCGATAGCCACCGCGGAGCCGTCGGGGAAGAATTCCACCGCCGAGGGGTGAGCCGTGCCAGTGTAAAAGCGCGAAATCAAGGTGTCACCTGGCTTCGGCCGCAATGCCGAGTTCTGTCCCTTCTTTTTAGGTCCAAACATATTCTAGCTCGGGCTCTTCAAGGAGAGGTTTTGTTTGAAAGGTTTCTTGAGATGATCAGATTCCACGGAACGAAATTCTAAGAATACCTGTCTCGTTCTTTCTTTTTGGTACCCCGCTGCGGGTCCTCGCGCTCCGCGTTCACCTCATACGAGGTGAAGAGATGTGAAAAAGCCATCACAGGGAAACACGAAGGCTGCGGCTATGCCGCTCTCATAGGTTATATACACACCCCAAATAGATAGAAAAGTAGATCCCCACCAAAAGTGTATTGGAAACCGTGCCACTATCAATTTGGAGACTATATATATAAGAATTGTTAAGACTTTTATATGTGGCCCCTGTTTTCAGCAAGCTTCGGGCGAGTCGTAGGTGAAGCAACTCAAGTGACGCCCAACATTACCTTGTTTGGGCCAGCTGAGGATCTCAGTATGCCTGAGGGTCTCAAGATAAACCAGAACACGTGCCACGCTCTTCAGCATCGAGTCACCCAAAATCACTTGCCCCCCACACCGCTCGTGCACACGTCCATCTGCCTGAGCGGTATGACCCAGCACCATTCTTTGGGCTCCCAAAGCCTCCAAGGTCTTTTGCACCTCTCCACACACTTGGCCTTCAGGACCCAGCGCCAAACGCCGGGTCCAGAAGGGCCCATCGTCGCTCAGGAGAGGCGAAGGATTCGTTTGGAGCTCGGCCGCTGGATGTTCCAAGAGACTCTTCACTTCTGAGTTGAGGCTCTTCACATCGGACCCGAAGCTGGGTAGAAGTCCCGCATGAACGAAGAGCACGGGCTTCTCTAAGCCTTCCTCAGGCCCCAGCAAGACCAACGCCTGCAAGCGATCTCGGAGTCCCCGCCCCAGCCAGCCATCCTGAGATAACATCTCGGAGCGCACCTGCGGGGTGCTGGTGCCGCTGGTGCTCAAAGAACGGGTTTCGGCCGCCGAAGCATAACGCAAATCGTTTTGCAAGTTCATGAGCTCGTGGTTTCCCAGGAGGAGGATCACCTTGCCGCCTCACAGCATCGGAAGTTACAGTAGGTGCTGTGTTCATGCCTCGGACCTCGGAGACCAACTCCTCCCAGGAGTGGTGGTGTCATACCTGACCGTTGCCCCATTGGATCATCATCGCGGGTGACTTCCCCTTATGGTAAGTGGCTTTCTTCCGCCATCGACCCAGCCGGCCGAATCTACGAGTAGCTCCACCTCACCTGGCCCTCACACCACATCTCAGGTCTCCTCCCTCCAACTCATCCGTTCCTCTACGAAACCAACCACCGCACGGCGCGCCTGACTTGGGCGCTTCGTCTTGCAGCCGAAAGAGCTCCCGCACCAAGGGCCCCGACTCCTCCCCCCGGTCCAGCAGGTCTCCCGTCTGCACCAGCACCGCACTCTGGCCCACCCAGGCGCCCTCCGCGTCGGCGAGGCCCAAAGTGCGGAAGATGGTCCTGGGACGTTCGAGTTCATCCCGAAGCCAACTGGGCCAGCACGGATTCCGAGTGTCCATAAAAATATGCATCAGAACCCCGAATTCCGAGGTCTTTCGGGGTGCGACAGTTGCAACCACCCCAGTCAGTCGGGTGCTACAGTTGCCTGGTTGCCTGATTGCCTTGGATTTTTAAAGGTTTGTTCGAGGTGCCACAGTCTACTTCGTGGGACGTCGTCGAAATCTGAGGTAGTGCAGGAGAACTCTTTGGTGGTTGTGTTTCAAGTGCCGGGTTGTCATTGAGTCCTTCAACTCAGGCTTTGTCTTTCGGTTCATAAACTCTGCAGCCACATCCAGTCTGGAAAAGGCACCCGGAATGCTAACAGGCACCAAATCAATCGCTTTGAAGCCCTCCGCTCACTCACTCAGATTTGTGCACAAAGCATCATGCTGCTCTGGTAGTCCCCATGCAAATCGCCCACGGAGAAAATGCGCCGCCCCCACTTGGACTCTGCCCTGGCAGGAGACACGAAAAGGAAAACAGCAAAGGCTGTGGCCACCGCAGTCAGCCACGCTGGCGCGACCGCTGACCGCGACCTGCGCGAGTCGCCTGCGGCGAGTCCGACCGCGGGCCGCGGACTCCGCGAGCCGAGTCGAGGGCCCTGGGGATGGCCATGAGCGCCCCAAGGGCTGGAGATGGCCGGTCGGGTCGCGAAGGTGGGAGAAGTGAACCTCGTTAAGTCCGACCAGGCACAAAGGAGGAGCGCACCGCGCGCCATGGGATGTCCAAGCATCATGATTTTAACTAGGCTTGCGATAGCGTTCATGAAACGTCCACATCAATGGGATTCAAGGTGTTGCCTCGCTTGCCCGGATTCATCACTGCAGAAGCAAGGCATCTTTGAGAAAAACTGCCACATGGGACCTCAAAACTCCACACTCTGGATCAACATCTGGCGAACCTCAACTGACAGGCCCTTGACTCTTCCTCTTCCATACCTCCTCCACCAGTTTCCCTCATTTTCAATCACAAGATGCTGCAGCCAAAAAAACATTTTGGCGTGTGGAGTGCCAATGAACCAGGTGAACGCCATTGAACGCCTACAGTAAATCCTCTGGTCTAGTCTAGTAGTGAAACGCACTTTTTTGCCACCGTTTTGAAAAAGATTTGTCACGCCCTGTAGGGCGATCGCCATGATATTTATTGAAGGCTGGGTGCTTCATCGAAGCACCTGGCAGAGGCTGTTCGGAAACACCCGTTCTGAGGCTGAGGAGGAAACCTCGTCGTGAGGATTGAAGTTGAAAACGGATGTTCCATCCTCGAGCCTGACTACTACTTGTAGAGGTCACGATGGCCCGAACAGGGCCTTTGGCCCCAGCGCCACAATGGGTCTATACACCAGAGTATGGGGTCAAAAGCCTGGACGCCCGACTGAATGGACGACCAGAGCGGCCAACCGCTCGTTTTGGAGGCCCAGGTTTTTGACCCCCCCCCTTCATTACGCCGGTGCAGGGCCCCCAACTTACGTGGCGCGTGGGGGGGGCCGGGAGTTCAGCTAACCCAAAGAATCCAACGTAATGAAACAATCTGGTCGCCGAACACAAGCCAAGAATACTGTACCCCCTTTAGAGCTCCAACTAAGGGACTGTACCTGGAGTACCTTCAAAGCAACCGACCGTGGGAGCAGACTCAGGTCTAGCGCCCCGTGCTCCCGCGGATCTCAGAAAACCATTGGCCCACCAAGCACCAAGCCCTCCATGGGTCCAGGCAACGGACCCAGAGCCGGTGGTGCTGTTGAAGCCTCACTCGCCAACGAACCGAGACAGCGAGACAACGAGTGGAACCCCAAAAACATCCGAACACCGGAGAGAATGACTTCTGTGCTGGCTGTGTACAGCCTTGATTGAGCTCCTCCCATGGTCCCAAACATGCTGACCCCCGAAAAGCTCACCAGTCGGATGGACTGTGGAACCCCAAATGGGCTGAGTGGAACCCCAAATGGTTGTCGGGCTGTCCGCAGATCTAAGATCTCATCGGCACCTGACAGTGTCCCAACTCAAGCGCGTACATCCTGCACAAGAACCACTTCGGACTCAACCAGCTCCCCGTTTCTGCGTGTCCAAAGCTGTCTTCCGGAAGGATGACTGCCCCAGAAGATTGGTTTGATGTCACAATATGTCAGGCCCGGCAAATCTCCTGTTTACTGCAATGGCCCAACCAGATTACATAAAGGATAAAATTCAAGAAATCGGAGTACTGAGCCCATATGTTATATAACTCAAATGAGCCCATATGTTCATGAACCAGTGAACCAGTGAACCAGCCCCTTCTCGAATGAGGCGGTCACTCAAGCACATTTCTGGAATGGCCCTTGATGAATCACCAGAACACAAGGGCATGCTGGATTCAACTGTCTCTGCTGTGATCTGATTAGGTGGTGCACTGCCGGGTCAGACTTTCTCAACAAGGAAAAGGACAAACAGGAGAACCACTTGGGACTGGAAGTGGTTGGGACTGGAGTTGTTGTTCAGACTTTGTGAGAACTGTCTGTTCGATTCTCGAGGAGGATGGCAGCGAACTCGCTGCGCGAAAGCCCAAGACCAACAAGCCGATGAGGCTGCCCTCATGCAACAAAATCAAACCATGTGCAAACACGTCAAAGCTGTGACCTCCTCCAAGTCACATCTAAGGAAATGCCAATGAGGCTGCCCTTGAAGTCAATCTGGTTCAATGCCTCTTCCCTGCGCCGAGAATGGATCTGGAGGTCAACATTTGTGATTTTCAAGACGGCGCGGCAAAAAGAGACCGTGTGGGGAAGGAAACGTAAAACAACTGCAACAAGTTGCACCATGTGTGTGTGTCACC